ATGCCCCAACATTGTCACTGGGCAAACAAACTATCACCAGATTCCTAAATTCAAAGTCTCATAACTCTTACAAAAGCCTTGTGGTTATGCACATCTACATATTATAATTATGTCCTCATTTACTACAAAGTTTCATGAAATATGTAGTGTGGTTTCAGAGGAGTACTTCGGTCAACGCTTTTACACCCCAATAAGTTTACAAAAAGAAGCATTTAATTCTTAAATAAAGGTTTTGAGTCAGCATCAGGAATGAATATGACTGACGGACCAACTGATGGACTGACTGAGGGACAAACGGACTCACGGACAAGTAAAAAAAGTTACTGTCTTGCCATTTTAAAATTTAGTCTGGCAGCAGAAAAAGAGGAAATATTTGATAAGGACAAAAATTGACCTAGCAAATTTACACCTGAACACCCTTCAAAGTGGTTCTTTAGTGCTCTCTACAAAAAAGGAATACATAACGCTATATAAATATACTTCACATTAGCCTGGGGGACTTAAGGATTTACATATAGTAACGAAGGTTGCCACTAATCTTAATGTCTTTTTTGTTTGCCTGTACTGTGTTGCTGTTGCTATTTGGTGTGCCTTTTTTATTTTCCTTGTATCTTTTTAATCGATATTGACATTATGATTTCAACTTTCAAATTGGCAACTTCGCATTTCTAAGCAGCAACAACTATCTGCTCCATCCGATACGGTTTATATATCTCAAAAAATACGCTTTGATCGTGCATATTCACCTTTATAAACAAGGCTGTGACACAAATATGCTCTAACAGCCACTAGAAAATGAGTTTTAGTCTTAAACAGTCATTTTGATCTTAGCATCATCTGAAAAGTTTAACACAAAAACGTTGAAAATAAACTGAACAAATCTTAATAGCTATGTGTCTGTGCTTTGCCGAATTTACCGCAGTGGATAATCTGAAAATTAACTAAAAGACTGGACTGGTTAATTCATTGTTCAGTTTTGTAAGACCGTGCACATCAAAATCATCCTATCAGTGCAAAATCGATGTACTAATGAGAATTATGAGCAAAATCGACTGAAATCGACACCATAGACTAAAGGTTTATGCTTTCCATCAGGAATTGGGTAACCGATACGATGTGTCCCAGTCTCACAGTTACTAACAACATGTTGTCGTCGTCTTGGATATAAACATAAAGATACTGGAATAGTAGTCTGATTATAAATTTAGGGGTTATGTCATATTCCCGACTTTGAACATTTGACTGAGTTGTATTTGCAAGGTGGGTATGCATGCATAGCTGGAGACGCTTTACTCCATCAACGTACCCGGTCTCGCTCCTCTCGAGTCCATGTTCAGTCTATTTTATTTGTATATTTTTAATAGATTCATGAGATTCAATATACAACTGTTGCCTCTTACTATTATTTTAAAAGTCGGAACCGACATCAATCAGTAGGTTTTGTTTTTAAATGGATGAAAATCGAAGGGTTATTTATTTGCAGTACGAGATTTGCATTGTTCCAGTGAAGTTAAACTTCGGGTTGAGTAGCTGACCGATGAAAATTGATGATATGGTTGAATATATCATGTTTTGAATTAGTTATATGAAAAATGAAAATTTCATGCATACAATTGTTTTTTTATTTTGTATTACTGTTAATTTAACGTTTGTCTTTTAAGTATTTACATCATTGATGTACTAAAACAAATTTAACAAAATACTCTTATGTTTTTGAAGAAATAACGAGTATAAATCAAATTAAAATTTAAATCAAATTAAGAAGGTTGCTGCTCACAAGGAAGCTATTAAACCAAGAGTTCCAAGTGGTGAAGTTGAAATCATCCCTTCGTAAATTTTACGGACGCCATCACGAGTTGGTTGACCGTTATGAAATATCCGTTTCACAGATGATAGCGGATATATTCCAAATGTCGTTACTACAGTTCCGTCCCCTTTTCTCCGAAGGTGACCTACCGAATTAGACTTATTTCCGGGTTTGTACTAACATAAGCAACACGACGGGTGCCACATGTGGAGCAGGATCTGTTGACCCTTCCGGAGCATCTGTGGTCATCCCCGATTTTTAGTGAGGTTCGTGTTCTCAGTCTTAACCAATATGAAATATCCGTTTCACAGATGATAGCGGATATATTCCAAATGTCGTTACTACAGTTCCGTCCCTTTTCCCCGAAGGTGACCTACCGAATTAGACTTATTTCCGGGTTTGTACTAACATAAGCAACACGACGGGTACCACATGTGGAGCAGGATCAGCTGACCCTTCCGGAGCACCTGTGGTCATCCCCGATTTTTAGTGAGGTTCGTGTTCTCAATCTTTATTTTTCTATGTTTTGTGTACTGTTGTTTGAGTTTTGGTCTTTTTTTTATGCCATGTCGATGTCACTTTATTTTTGAATTATGAGTTTGAATGTCCCTTTGGTATCTTTCGCCTCTCCTTTTCATGTAACAGATCAATTAGTTTACATGAATCATATCTAAATTTAAGGGCTTTATAAACAACATCTCGTGATATCCCATTTTTGATAAGAGCTAACTTCCAAAACAAATCTTTGTATCTATGAAAGATTTTAGTTAAGGTTTAATTTATTTGTGGAAACGAAATCCCTGACTTTATAATTTATCAGTTATACATAAATTCCATTGATTGAAATCTTAAACGCAACTACAGACATAGCTAACAAGCTGTGAAATATACACAAGGTGAGAAGAGGCAAAAGGAATATCACCGTCCATAAAGGGAAAATTAACAGGAATCTGTATAATTCTATATTTATAGAGGCAAAACTAAAGTAGACATTATAAGTCAGGGCATCATAACATAAACATGTGTTTGAAGAAAACAGGACCATACAGCAAAACTCATGAATGCCGGTATACAACGCTAAACTTTTGATTAGGCCTTGGCTTTCCAATCTTTAGGTTTGAGAATTCCCCGATTAGGTATATTCCAAAACAGTGCTTCAGACATTAGCAGTCACACATAATTTATAAAGTCTTAATTCTTATTTTGTAACAAACCATTTAGAAAATCAAAGCATATTTTATGAACTGTACAGGGGTAAATGTTTCTTCACCGGATTAAGTTATTGTTCAATACACAGATGAAGATCTATTGCGTAAATCAATTAATTTTTAATGCTTTTCTCCAGATTGATATACTACGTATCACATGATGTGATGTGTCCCATTCAAACAGCTAGTACCGTTGAAATCATCATATTGATGCTTGTTTTTATTTCATTAATGAAGCCGTATGGAGTCAATAGAGAAGTTTAGCAGTTGAACGTGTACGTGTACGTGTACTTGTACGGGTGAAATACACGTACAAGTACACTTACACGTACACGTTCATGTCTAATTGATGGCGCAACTTGTGCGGGTACATGTAAATACAATTTAATGGAGATTTCGATTGGGCACGATTATCGAATCGGAGAATATCATTCATCGGCAAGATGGCCAATTTTCGTCTGCTAGCTGCAATGGATGAGGAAATAGAGGACGAGTTATTGCTTCTTTCATGTTATAAGGACAATTCAAATTCAGGAGATGCTTTTAATTTTGATGAATTATCTGCAGAGGCTTGCAAGAAATTGTTCCGTTTTGAAATAGATGACATTCCAAATTTACGGAACAGCCTTGGGTATCCCAGATTCTTTTGTATGTGACAACCGAACGGTGTGTTCATGTCTAGAAGCCTTATGTCTTTTATTACGTAGATTAGCTTATCCTAGTCGCCTTTCAGACCTTAAATCTGTATTCGGACGCTCTGAAACTGCTATGTCTATAATCATTAATACAGTATTGAACTTTGTCTACGATGCTCATAACCATCTCTTACATGATTTAAACAGTACAGGCATTTACAGGAATACGCTGACGCCGTTGCAGCTAGAGATGCACCTCTTCTTAATTTTTGGGGTTTCATTGATGGGACCGTTCGACCCTTATGTAGACCAACTACAAATCAGCGCATTCTGTTTAATGGTCATAAAAGAGTCCACGCTAAAAAATTTCAAAGCATAGTTGCTCCTTATGGACTTGTAGCAAACATGTATGGTCCGATTGAAGGTCGAAGGCATGATGCCGGTCTACTACGAGAGAGTGGTATTTGTGGAGAACTTCAGACACATATGACAACCCCAACTGGTGACATTTATGTTATTTACGGTGATCCGGCTTATCCCATGACTACACACATCATAAAACCTTCCGAGGAGGAGTCATTTCAGCAACACAGGCACGATTCAACAAGAAGATGTCTGTCGTGAGAACATGTGTGGAATGGACTTTTGGCAAAATTTTGACTTTGTTTGCATTTTTTGACTATAAGAAAAACTTGAAGTTGTACTTGCAACCTGTAGGGAAATATTACTTGGTTGGCACTATTCTTGTAAATTGTCATACTTGTCTATACGGTAGCGAGACTGGACATTATTTTGTCATTGATCCACCAAGTTTGGAAAATTATTTGTCTGGATGAAGCTATATACACTACGTGTAATTCGTTTTTGTTGTACAATTGATGTGAACTTTGTCTTGAAAATAAAATAAATATTGTTGAAAATATTAATCTTAAATGTCTAATTCAAGATCCAGACCATATGGCACGTCTAATTAAAATTGAAAGGGTGTAACTTTTTATTCCATTATACATTTCTCATAGATATGTTGCAAGAAATTCCTTGATGGCGTATATGTTATCAATTTTTACCAGCCTTCTCATCTCCGATTTAATTCACACACGAACTATCGACCAAGGTATTCCTGTCTTGGAACAGGTAAACGTCAAATGTGGTGGGGGTAAAACTAAATTGTGGGATCTTATTTCAAGGAGACCATGAGTCAACAACCCACCAAAATAAAATTTAACCAAGCATTTTACTATCTCATTTTCGAATCGCACAATATGACACAATGATGATGAAAAATTACAGCAAATTTAGTGTAATCAATATTTTGTATAATATCAGAAAAATTTATTTTTCCTATTCACAAAAATATCAGCTAATTCAGTTCTTGTCCGGGAGCTTTCTAAACATTTCAAAAATCATCATCTTTTCCTGTCTTTCAATATCCTTTCTCTGTCTCCTCTCCAACTCAAATTTCTCCCTCTCAAACTGTAGTTGTTGTTTCTTCATTTCCATCTCCTCTTTTCTTATATCCATCTCTACTTCCTTCTTTTCTTGCAGATAAGAAAGAATGTTGTTGGATGATTTTGATTTCTTTGGTCTAATAGCTTCTTCTTCATCACAATCTGTATATAGAAGGTTACATGAAAATATGTTCTTTCCAATTAAAGGTTAAAACAATAAAATAATAAATTATTGTGCTTATGATTTACCTTTGTGATTCAAAAACGTCTGCAATAAAATGCATGTTTCAAATCAACGAAAAACCATAAAATTGTTCTTACCATCTCTGTTTTTAGGGACAAATGAAGATAGTAATACAAAGATAGTTTACAACAGAACCAAACATAAACATTTTTTGTACATAAATTAGGCCGTTAGTTTTCTCGTTTGAATTTTATAGCTGCATGACTGAGCGGTATGGGCTTTGCTCATTGTTGAAGGCCGTACGATGACCTATAGTTGTCATTTGGTCTCTTGTGGAGAGTTGTCTCATTGGCAATCATACCACATCTCCTTTTTTTATAATAACCACAACCATTTTATTTTTCAAACTGATTGAGCCGAGTCATTTTATATAAATTGTATTGTAAATATAAAATACCAAAAATAAACTAAAATTATCATGATTTTAACTTACCTTTTGTGGGTGTCAGGGTTTCTAATGCCCTTTTTCTAATGTCAAGGGAAGCCTTTTCTAGGGAAGCTTTTTTTTTCTTTATCTGCATGCTTTTTCCTCTCTTCTTCCTCCATCAACCCTATCACATCCTCCAGTAAACTTTCTCTTTCGCTTTATTCCTCATTTATACCTGATCTAAAACATATTATGTAAAATTATAAATCAAGCAGAATTAATTCACTCCATTGGAAAGCTTTATATTTGAAACTAAATCAAACACAAAACCGAAAGAACTTGCATTTGATTTGAAAGCTAATAATTTTAATAACTCTTTTTAAACACTTTTTCACTTTTAATAAATCTTTTTACTTCCTGTTCTTTAGTGAAAGGCAATTAATTTTGGGGGCTGCTCATTTTCTGGAAAATATTTATTTTTATTTTTATGAAAAAATGTACCAATGTACAAAATGTAATCAAGACACCCCTGGAAAATCACTTACTTTTTCAAGTTTTCCCTATTATCTTTTTTGAATTGAGTAATTAACAAGTTGGTCCTCTCTAGCCCGTCTCCCATCTATTAGGAAGGTTGTTGTCGAAAGTTTTTCGCCTATCTCTATCCACTTCCTTTTATTTCGGAATGGATTCTCTAATGTGACCTCCCTTAGCAGTTTAATATCATCAGCCACAGAAAATCTTGCTTGCTTTTTTCTTGCAGGAGTACAAGATGCCATCTTTAAGTGCCCTATAAGATATGATATATTTTTTACAAATCAAAATAAATGTATGAAACTTGTAATTTGTTAACTAAATTATGGTAAAGATATGGATAGGGAGGAAGACTCTATTACAGAGTCAATTTAGAAGGGAATGAGGTGATGTTTTAACACACACCCTCCTCCTTTTTCGGGATCTTGTATTTATTATTCACTTTGTTTTCCTCCGTTGGTAGCAAGGTATTGCGGCACAGTCAATCAAAGGGAAATATTCTTCATAAAATTCATTTTAGGTACATTTCAGTGACAAGTGCCCGCTTGGCGGCCCATATATTTCTTTTCATTTGTAAACAACAAAATAATCTTCTGAATTCAATGTAATTAGAGCTGCATACTCCGCAGAGAAAAAAGACATTATTTTACTGCTATTTTTATTGAAAAAATGTTCAGAAAAACCAATAAAACTCAGAAGTTTTCACTTACGTGTAAATCCCGCCTTACAAGTTCCAAATGGCGTGTACTTGTAAAACGTCGCATACATTGATGACGTATAACGCACTGTATCAGGGAATTTCCCTACTACCCGTACACGTACACGTGCACGTCTGCTTTGCTAAACCTCTCTAATAACAGGTTGATAACTGTAAAGGTTTCAGAGTATTTGGAACATGCATGTCGTTTTAATGTGAGTAAGATAAATCACGATTGGCCCTGAACATTATTTCTCAGAATTCAAAAAGATGTTTTGGTTATTTTGTTTTTAATGAGGTCATTCAGATTTTAATTGCGGTAGGGAAATCTTTTTAAGTCAAGATAAAATAAACTGCTTTGCCGAGCGCAGCTGTATATGACCGCAGAGGTCCAACCCTGAACAGTTGGGGCAAAAATGGACACAATATTCAAGCTTGATACAGGTCTGAATTTGGATTGTAATTGAATATTTGACACATTATAGGTCTCTGACACAGAATAAATGTAGTCAAAGAACTTGAAATTGATTATACGATTTGAATTTATATTCAATTGAAGATTTTGTGCAATACACTATGCTGTTGCACAATACTTAGTAAATCTGTTTTCAGACAATATACAAAGAATTAGCAAAATAAATTGACCCCTAATTTTTCTTTGGAAAATTGACAATTTCTTAAATCTTGAGGAAAAAAAATTGACCCCCTCCCCAAAATTTTTGTTTACACCCCCCCCCTTAAAAAAAAATGGCCCCCCCTTCCAAAAATATTTGTTTTACCCCCCCCCCCCCCCCCCCCCCCCGTTTCCTAAAAAATAACATTTGAAGAAATTTTCTTTTTATAAAATGTGGTTTCATTTAAGAGACATCTATACACTTAAACACAAGTTGTCTGAAAACTAGAAAAATGACTGTTTTAGACCCTTTTTGGCCCATAATTCCTGAACGGTTTAAGCAATTACCCCCAAAATGAATCCCAACCTTCTACTTGTGGTATTGAACCTTGTGGTGCAGATCAATCAAAATACTTATACACAAGTTATTGTCCTGAAACTAGAAAAATGCTTGTTTTGGGCCCCTTTTTGGCCCCTAATTCCTAAAAGGTTGGGACCATCACCCACCAAAAATCATCCCAACCTTCCTTTTGGTGTGTTGAACCTTTTGCTTAAATTTCCTAGAGATCCATTCACTTAAACTAAAGTTATTGTCCGGAAACCAAATGTCTTCGGACGACAACATGATAGCAATATACGACCCCAAAATTTGTTTGCAGTCGTATAAAAATGTACCACTTATTTTATGTTAAGTTGTGATTGAACTATTCTTACAATGAAATGAATCATGTTTTAATGAATTTTGCCATCTTCATAAATTCAGCATTTGTAGCATCTGTATGTTGGATTGTGGTTCAGGTTATCAACTATTGAAAGAGATAATAAATGTTTCATTTAATCATAATTTGATAGCAGATGTCAAATAACCTGGTTTATAGTTTTTTATGTTTAATGATAAATTGAGACTAACAAAAATCCTTTTAAGTGATCATTAATGCAACATTCTTCACAGTACAACTTTAACAGGTTTTTTAATTGAAAAATTTGTTCATTTGGTAGGTGCCCTGGTTCTCTCTTATTTTTTATCAAACATACTGTACTATCAGCATTAACATCAAATACAATTTTGAAACGAAACTCCTTTTCGAATAAAGGTTGGTTCCAAATTGGCAAAAATGTTTCCTTATATGCAGAAAGCAATTGGTTAAAAGGTTTCCAACCAACAATGGAGGTCAGAAATAAAATTATGAGACATAAGATACATCAAACAAGTGAAAATGCGAGCTATTGCTCACTGATGATTCCCCCGCCCAAATACTTGTCGGTAAACAGGAAGTTGTTAAGTGATGAATCTGAAAACGCATCACACGGTATAGCTGACTTATATAAACCCTGAAACCAAATTTTAAAAATCCTTGTAATGTAGTTCCTGAGAAAAATGTGACGAAAAAATATTCATGGGACGGACAGACGGATTGACGGACGGACAGACAGAGGTAAAACAGTATATCCCCAGTTTTTTAAAACGGGGGTATAATAATCACAACGATAACATAATTTTATTCTATAAGTTTAATAAAATAATTATCAAAAATAAACCCTAGGACAAAAAAAAAGTTCAAATGTATAAATGAACACATTATTAAATATAATTTTCCTTAATTTGCTAGACTATTCTTTTTTCTCGTTTGCTATATTTATAACATATGTATCATGCCTTAAATTACAGTATAAATATGACATGATTAAAATGTTAGCACAATGAAAATCATAGATGTTAGTAGTTGCTGTATATCCCGAAGTATTCAGAATATATTGTTTATGTACTTGTCTTTCTAATAATGGTTTTCCATGTTTAAAATAGTGAGGAACCATCTTTATAAATAACTTACTTGTGATAATGCTTTTTTAAGATAAGTGTGGATAGTGTTCACATGGATAGTGGACACATGTGGACACAGATGATGCCCCTGCTTGTACATCATATAGTTATACAGGGACATAACTGAAGAACGGTAAAAGTGACGCTACCCAAATTTGAACTTGATCTGAGTTTTGTGGTATTAAGCATTGTGTTTAAGTCTCATAACATTTGGTTGAGGCTAACTTGAGTAGAGAACAGAAACTAAAAATTCACCAATTTTTCTATCTGTAAACAAGCACAACTCTAGAATGGTTGTGTACAAGTTTTATAACATTTGAGACAAACTAAAGTTAGAGAACGGAAATGAAAAATTCAGCAATTTTTATGTTTATAAAGGGACATAACTCAAGAATTGTAAAAGTGTCGCCACCAAATTTCGTACTTAATCTGAATTATGTAGTAATAAGCATTGTGTAAGTTTCATAACATTTGGTTGAGGCAAACTAAAGTTAGAAAACGGAAACAAAAAATTTGTACTTGATCTAATTTTGTGCTATAGAATATTGTGTATAGGTTTCATAATGTTTGGTTTGGGCAAACTTAAGTTACAGAATGGAAACTAAATATTTTGCAATCTTTCGATTTATAAAGGGGCATAACTCAATAATGGTTAAAGTGACACTACCCAAATTCAACTTGATCTGTGTTTTATCAGTGGAAATCAAAATTAAACATTGCATTGTATAAAGCATTGATTGTAGTTGATTCAACTATAATTATGGACAAAGGAAGATAACTCCAATTTTTAAAAATTACTTGATATTTAGAAGAAAATAAACATTTTGCAATTTTTCCATTTATAAAGGGGCATAACTCTAGAACGGTTAAAGTGACGCCACCAAAATTCAAACTTGATCTGTGTTTTGTGGTAATAAGCAATGTGTATAAGTTTCATAACATTTAATTGAGGCAAACTCAAGTTAGAGAACGGAAACCAATTTTGGGACGTACGTACAGACGGACAAGGGTAAAACTTAATGCCCCCTCCGCTACGGCAGGGGCATAAAAACCATGACTGTTCCACTTAGAGAAGGCACAATGGTCAAAAGGATATAGAGAAAGACACTAGAACAATTTGTAACAAGAAACTAGATACAATGTATAAATGGCACAAATGTAGAATTATTACCTTATAATAGTTATCTAACAACAATAAACTAAATACCAATCTAAATGATTTAACAGTTATTGGTAAAATTCATTAAAGGGGCATTAGCTAAGAAATATACAAAATAAATGAAATATGATTGTTTTTGTTCAATCATTAATGAAAGCGAAACAGTGAAATAATAATTCGCTTTTAGCAGCCAGTTTGGTTCAATCTTGTCAAAATAAGCTCAAAAACATTCGACCTCGTTGAATTTGTATTCATGTGACCTTCAATATAACCCCTTAGCTGGAGATGGTTTTTGCTTGTATTCAGGTATTAAAAGGAAAAGAATGTCAACAATGAAAGTGAAACAAGGATGAACCATTTAGTTGACCGATTCGATCCACAAAAATGATCCTTCTTATACAGGTAAAAACAATGATAAACATACTTTTTAACCTACAATATGAAATCAAACAGACCTTGAAAAATACAATTGCATGTGGTCACTATCTATCTACATTTATATATATATCAGGTTATATGCCCATCGGCAGTCTTCGGAGGTCATCTCAATGGTTTATATAATTAGATGATGTCTAGACAAAAATACACAACGAAGTGTTGATACAAATTAATGAGTCCATGCATTGTTAATTGTTTATTTAAACTTTTTATAATTTGGATATACGTTTTAGTATGTTATAAATCAAATATGAAAATTTGAGTCAAATCGGTGCACATGAATTTGACAGCTAATGCCCCTTTAAGTCAGAAAATAAATTGAGATCAAGGAAAATGTA